AAGCAACATTTGGCTGAGCATCATCTTCAGATTCTTATAAGAATTTGAGAAAAAAAATAAAAACAATGCCGGATTTAAAAAAAAAAAAAAAAAAAAAACCTCGTACGGGGCCCCTAGCGTACGAGTAGCGTACGAGTACAAGAGTACGAGTCCGTACTCGTACGAGGGTGCGTACAAGTGGCAACGTAGCTTTCTCTGGGGGCAGAAGAGAAAGACACTCCTCAATGGCAATAGCATGCTCCTTCTTTCCGATCTCGACATCAACCCCTGGTGCCTTTAAAAAACCTTATACTTTGTCGTCAACCCCGGGACTATCTGCAATATGTGTTCTGGATATTTCGAGGACCTCCGTGTTCGAGATGACCCTACCCCTAAACAACAGAAGAAAGACAAAACGAAAAATGAATACACGTTTCCAAACACGACCAGGACGAAAGTGACAATTTATAAATCACGTAATCTAGAAGACATACGACCTATCCAATTACAAAACCCCGTTTTGTCATGACCATGAGCACCGAGGTGTGTGAGCGAGGCTGGAAAACAAAACGACTAGCGCATTCGAGCTCGACACTCCCGCCCTTCAGAAAGGAAAATCACAACAAGCCACAGAAGCGGAAGCCAAACATCCCCGAAGTCCAGATTCCAGCGGACTTTTTCCTAATCCAGACACACAAATACTAACTGCATCACGCATCGGTATTGGAAGTGCGGATCCCGACGGACTAAAACCACCACTCTTTCCGAGAAAGAAAAATTGTCACTCCATTTTCTGAGGGAACGTTTCAACTAAAACACACATGTTTTTGTTGTAGTATGCCCTGCACGCGACCAGCGACCTGGCCGACTCACAGGAAGGTCGACCACATGTTCTTGGAAGGAGTGGTGGCTGTAGCATGCCGGCATCAAGAACTCCCCATATCGACAGACACTGTGGTCACTCCTTGTGTGTATGGTACTGAAGGTAGTCCGTCGACATCCGGACTAGGAAGGAACGCGCACTCTCGCTCTTGGAAGCCTGGGCGCGCAGACAGAGTGGCGTTTCTCACAGCCTACCAGCCGGTTTGTCCCTCCACTCCTTCGTCGGTGAACTTGGTGCGGGCAAGACTAGCACGTCGAGAGCTTGAGTGCTGACCCCAGTTTTTTTCGAGGACGTGACATGTTGTCGTCCCCCAAACCCGCCCTTCCCTTCACTGGGGATGGTCGCCGACAGTATCGGAGAGTTCGGCGGCGAAAAAGTGATGGCAGATGCCGTGGAAGGTTTGACGTTTCGAGGGTCGTCGACATCAGGCGTTGTGAACGTCTGCGCGGACACTTGGTGGTCGCCTCTGATGCCATCGATAACTTCTTCGACGTCTATACGACCACTCAGTTTAGATAGGCTCACAGCAACAGGAGCCTCGTTAAGCCGGTGTTGAAGATCGACGATAGACATCAGTGCTTGGACCTCATAGTCATCACGTTCTGCCGAAAGGTTGCTGACCACCCGTGTCTCCATCTCCATTGTCGTCGCATCGTTGTCGTCATCACCCTCGCGATATTCTGCCTACAGCAGCCCGAATCCGTCAGACGACTCCCCATATTCGGCATCGTCGTCACTCACTGTCCGTTCGTCGTCTCCAATATCGACGTCCCCTTTTGCCCCCTCCTTTCCTTCAAACAACTCACTCAACTCCGTTTTTCCCCCTTCCTCTCCTTCCTTCCCTTCCTCCTCTTCTTCCTCCCCTTCATCCCCTTCATCTCTTTCTTCCTCCTCTTCTTCCTCCTCTCTTTCCTCCCCTTCCTCCCCTTCCTCTCCTTCCTCCCTTTCCTCCCCTTCCTTCCCTTCTTCCATTACCCCCCCTCCTTCCCTTGCATGCAATCCATCCACTTCTCCCGAACCCTTGTCGAATTCCGATGACCGGGCTTGTGGCTCCATGCACGCTGCCCCTCCCGCCGGCACCATAATCCGTAGTCGGCCCCCCCTGCCTGAAGAAGTTCGGATGTCAGCGAACTTCGTCGTCTCCCTGTCGCCGGGCCCTCCACTTGCACCCTCTCGGTCCTAGCAAAGCGGTCGTCGCTCCCCCTCAGGCGGCGCATACCTGTCCCTCCCCGCACCACTGTCAATTGTGGGATCATGACTCGGCACCCCCACTCCCGACCAGCTCTGCGCGGTCGACCGCTGTGTCGGCATCTCAACCATTGTAGTTCGGATCCCGGCGGACTTGAACGTTCCGCCCGAGCCACCACGGAGAGCAACCAAGGCTGCCATCATCTCTCTCACCGAGCCGAAGGACGAAGTAGGCACGTTGGCGGACTGTGTCAAGTCCTCTGGACCGGGACGAGTAGATTGCGGACTACCGAAGGCCTCCTTCGCCACCCCACTGCTGCCTTTCGTTGGCGCGGTGTCACAGTGAGATTCTCCCTCCCCACCAGGCCGGACTCCTGTGCCACCCCCCACATTGTCGCCTCCGCCCCCCCCACTATCTGGTGCCCAGGCCCCGGAACTCCCGCGTGCCCCACTGGGAGGGGGAATTTTCCAGTCCACCATGCCCTTCGAGGGGCTTGTATCGAGTGCGTAGTACTCCGTCAGTTCCAACCACCACTTGTCTTGAAGTTCGTCGAACAGTCGCCCGACTGTGGAAATGACGGACACGTCGTCGGGTGCAAACGAGTCATTTTCGACCCTCATGTTTTAAAGGACCGAAATTCTGGCGAGGTCGAGGAGGTTTGACTTCGACTCGTGAGGGAGGGGCATCAATCCTCCGCCCGAGACAGCGACGGCCAAGACCCACTCGCCCTTTTGGATCACCGGCTGGATGACTCCTGGATGCCAAATCATGTCATGGCCCCAGTCCACCTCAAGTGAATGACTTTGCAGCTTAGCAAGGAAGTGAATGTTGTCGTCCTTCCAAGACAGATGATCGGGCGTGATGTCAGACCCGGGACACAATATGCGACAGGGGCGTGGTGTGAGGGAGGTGGGTCGTCTTGCAGGTCGAGGCTCTCGATGTTGCCCTCCTCCTCGTGAGAAAAGGTTAACAACAGTCGTATTTTTCATCACCACTTCAGGACACCCTTCACCACTTCATGATGCATCCTGCCTAAATAGGTGGTTTTCAGGGTCTTCGGAGTTTTCACCACTTCAGGACCATTCAGGTCTGAAAATCCCGAATGGTCCTCAAGTGGTGAAAGCTCCGAAGACCCTAAAAACCACCTGTTTAGGCAGGCTGCATCCTCAAGTGGTAAAGGGTGTTTTTCAGGGTCGTCGAACCTTTCACCACTTCAGGACCATTCAGGATTTTCAAACTGCCCAAAACTCTCACTTGACCACTTCAGGACACCCTTCACTACTTTAAGATGCAGCCTGCCTAAACAGGTGGTTTTCAGGGTTTTCGGACCTTTCACCACTTCAGAACCATTAAGGATTTTCAGACCGCCCAAAACTCTCACTTCAGAATTTTCATTCATGAATTCTCATCTACCCGATAACCGATTGTGCTCCTCCTTCGCGTTCGCGTCGAATTCGACGCCTGTGGTTTCCTCGTCTTCCGTGGAGATCAAGGAAAAGTAACTGCTGAACTTCAACTCCTCCTCTGACTCCACGAAGTACAGGGACTGCAACCTTTCGAGAAATGTCTTCCCGTTGAACTTCATGAAGGAGGCGCCGTGGTAGTTGTCTAGCAGCAAGAACATGTGGTCCCTGCGGCGCACATACTCGGCGTTAGTGTCCTTCCTCTGCCGCGTTTGCAGGAGCAAGAAGTCGTATATCTTGTTCCGCTTCCTCTCACTCAACTTGAACCACACGTGTGTCTTGTTGTTCCACATACGACCCCGTGTCTCCTTCACGACCATGAACTCGCAATTGTGGGCCCCCGCATTGACCTCGCTTTTGACAAGTTGCATTGCGAATTGCAAAAGGTTGGAGTTCCCTTCCATCGTGACAACGTGCCGGCCTGCCTTCAGTAGTTCCCACACGGTTCGCGTGTGCGGCTTCCCAAGGAAGACGACACACCTCTCCCTTCTTGCTGACGAATTCGAGAAGATTAACGAATTGGGTCAGATTGCGTTCCATGTCCCCGTACACACTGCCCTAACGTGCAGGCGAGGTTTGCGACCAGTCACAAGGCGTGAACGGAATCTCGAACACATCCGTTTGGGTAATCTTCAGTGGCAACCGCACTGCAGCAGCGGCACCTGCTGGCAGCCTTCCCTCGTAAACGACGAACAATAGGGGATTCGTGAAAACCTCACAATCGGAGAAAACCTAACATTCCTTATAAAATGAAAAAGTAAAAGTCAAACTGTTATTTTTTACACAAAAAGATAACGTTTTTAATCGTTTTACGATAAAGGAGGCAAAAAATCAGGTGAAAAGTGTAGCGTTCCTCAAAATGTGCAAGAAAATATGACTATAAGTCATTCTCAGTAGATTGGCAAAAAAACAGAGTTCAAACAGGGTAATTTTATAGGATGACAAGGCGAACTTGAAAGATGTAAAAAAAAAAGTGTTTTGGTGAATACTCATTTTTAAGATTATAAGTCAGTTTCCGGATTTAGGTAAAAGCCAAAATCTACACAAAATAATTTATAGGACTATAAATCACTTTTGAACTTAACAATAAAACCCGTATCAAAAAATATATGTCATTTAAAATAAAAATACAAACAACTTTCGCCCCAGAAACACCTTGGAATTCTTAGCCAAACACGAGTTTAAAATAAAAATATAGGGAAAAAATTAAAACAAACAATAAAAAATAATGTATTCGCCCATGTATGGGAAACCATGTTCAAGCGAACGTATTCATGAATAGGACAATATGTTTGCGCGTTCGGAAAACCCCCGAATAAATTCATCGTGCTACACATCTTATATGACTATAAAAATATTTTTTTTGGATAACAAAAAATCAAGATATTTCAGTTCTTGAACCTACGGTGCTTCACCTGGTCGTGATTTTCTATGAAAAAAACCGTTTTTTTCCTCGCCCCCTCAAGCAGTTCTGAAAAATTAATTTTCTGTTTTTTTTTAGCGGATGTTTCACTTCACGTAGAATTTTGTTCCTGGAGGAGACCTGAAAAATGTACTATCATAATGTATAATAGATTCCGTGCAAACCTAACTATTTGTTTTGTTAGGTTTTCACGAATCGTATGTTGAACGTGTTAGCGAGCAAAACGTCACCCTTGAAGAGGATGTAAATCCAGTCGTCTTTCGTGTACAAATTGTTCCCGACGGGGAAACTTTTCTTTTGCTGAGTTCTCCTCACCCACTTACCTTCCAACAGCTTCACGAAAGAAAGATGGTTCATGCTGGCAAAAAACGAGAGGTTATGCTGCCGCGGCATGAAAACGACGAGCTTCCAATGCGACGGACACCACGTCTGAAGTTGGGAATCCAGAGTATCGAACACTTGTGGTTTCCACAGCTGCATATCAACCGGTTCGCAGAGGTCGGGGACGAACGTGTGGCTCTTTGTGGCAGCCACCGCCTCCTTCAGCTCCGCACTCCTGATGTCCGCCTCCAAGGGATCGTTGCCGAACGGTGCGATGGATATCACGTCGCCCGTGTCTTTCCATTTTATGTGCACAATGCCTTCGGCAAAAGCGATCACACGACTCTTCCGAATCAGTCTACTGCCAGTCAACGTGAAGAGAACCTTGTTTCTCTAGTCGATTGTCAGCTTCATGTGACCGGCCAACTTCTCTGTCGCCTCAATGGAGTGGTCGTCGTCACAACCCATGTAAGGCGGGCACTCCTTGAACAGCGAGCGACATGTGAAGTTTCAGCAGAACGTGAAGTTCGAATCCGGGCGGACTTGGTTGTTGTTTAAATCCACAGGGTACCAGGTAGGCCGCAGACATATCGTATAATATGTGGAAACGGAAAGTTCAGCGGTATCCGAACTTCACGAGGGCGCGAGAGAGAGAGAGAGACAACTCTCTGTTAAACTCACAGTCCCACATTCTCTTGAAGTCCGGATCCTGGCGGACTTCACATATCGCGAAGTCGAACAGCAGAAGAAGTTCGGATTCCGGCGAACTTCGCATTTTCATCTGTCCTCTAATGCGCCTGTGGATTTGGACAGCAACAAGATCCATGCTTGTGTTGCTGTCCAAATCCACAGGCTCATCAGAGGACAGATGAAAATGTGAAGTTCGTCGGAATCCGAACTTCTTTTACTATCCGATTTCGCGACATGTGAAGTTTGGCGGTAGATATGGCCAACGTCGGAAGGTCCGATTCAGCGAACTTGTGTTGTTGTTCAAATCCGCGGGGCAGCAGAAAGACCACAACCACATCAGAGGATATGTGAAAATGCGAAGTCCGCCAGGATCCGGACTTCAAGAGAATGTGGGACTGAGAGTTTGACAGAGAGTTGGAGAGAGAAATGGAGAAAGAGATAGAGATAGATAGAGAGAGATCGAGAGAGATAGATGGAAATGGGGAGAACCAAATGGAACCCGAAGTTCGCAGTCGCGTTGGCGGACACATGCTTGTGTTGGCGGACACATGCTTGCGTTGGCGGACACATGCTTGCATGACGAAACGAGTGTGTGCGAGAGTGAGATACACAGAGAAGAAATACAGATCGTCGGGTTCGTTGATAACCAAGGTTCGATGTGGCCTGATGGCCAATGTTGGTCGTCGGACTGTCACGATCCAGTCCGACAGCCTGCATTGGCCATCGGGCCGCATCGAACCGTATCTATCAACAGACCCGGTGAAGTCGACGTTCGCCTACCTCCGTATTTTTTCTTTCTGTATCTCTCTCTCTTACACACCGACGATCTAGGGAGATGTAGAGAGAGATGGGGAGATGCCCGCGATCTGTGACAGCGTTGGGAAACTATGAAACACCCGTGGACGCGCCCACGGGTCCGATCTCGGATGGAGGACGCAGATAGGGCCGTGTCCGCAGCTGACCTGGGCCGCGCCGCGGACCTGATTTTACCAGCATTTTCCTGAATTAAATAATAGGTTTTTAAAAAAACAATATATGGGGTTGTAGGGAATTTTAAGCCCTACAACCCCATATTCGTTTTTCCGAATTCGACTTTGTTTAGGATTTTTAAAAAATCAAAAACTAAATTCGATTTAAAGAAAAATATATATATATATATAAAGAAAAGCTGGATTTTTTTTTTGTCATTTTCTATCATGAGATATATGGTCCCTGACTTCACCTGTCTCTTTTTAGAAATGAATTTCTGTTTTTTGTATGGGTATGAAGTGTTTCAAAAAAATGCAGACGCAAAATTTGAAAATAAATAAAGAAAAAACTTCAAGTGTGTGTGTGTGTGTGTGTGTGTGTGTGCATGTGTGTGTGGGTGTGTATGTCTATGCACGTGTGTGTGTGTGTGTGTGTGCAAGAGAGAGAGAGAGA